ATCTTCTCAGTTCCTTCAGTAGAACGTTCAAAAATCGAGGATCCACTCAAAATTCACATTTTGGCGCTGCCTCCGCGTCAGAATGAATTTTTTGAGAATTTTTGCATTGAAACGCTCAGCTTACGGATGTGCATGTGGCAGAAATCCAAAATTCGCAAGAGATTGTAATACAGGCCCAATTCCACGGGCCAAGAGCCATGTGGATCCGCTTAGCGGGCAATTTTTGAAGGATCTATTCATCGGATCCGCTCGTGTTTTTGTGCATTGGGCTTTTGAGCTGGTAGCATGCTCCATGCAAAATTTGGGCTAAAAAGGTTGGCTGGAACCTGCCCTACGAATTTCGTAACAGACACACTCTCACACACACACACACACACACACACACACACACACACACACACAAACACGTAAACACCCTTAGCCCGTTATTATAAGTTATGATTTTTCAGTATGCCTCAAAGTCCCGAATATAATAGGTCCTTATTAAAGTTTGTTTGCCTTAATCAGAATTTAGATGACATGCAGTTTCTAACTATAGTTTAAATGCATCCTACCAAGCACAGGTGGGAGAGTAAAAAATGCAAAAATAAAATTTGGTAATTTTTGGGAAAGCTCACCAAAATCCACAAACCTTGCAAAAAATACCAAAATAAGCACAAGCATGTGTTCTATGGTCTCCTGTTTTAACTAGGCAAATGACTTGTTGAGCGAATGTTCCTATGAAAGGTTATGATTTTTTACGAAAATGCTCTGCATTTTCCACAAAATCAACCTGCTCTCGAACGGCTTGAACTTCTCTTACCTAAAAAGAGGTGGTCATAGAATTCATGTCTATGACTGTTTCGGTTTTCGCTGTGATGTTTTCAGGTGTTTTGACCATGCTCGAGAATGGCAAACTAAAGTAATGCTCTTCACTTGCTTCTAACTTTCGAACTGTCTTATATTAATTCTTGGAAAAGGCGCCGTGTTGGGCAAAAATTTCTCGTTCAAACAAAAATACTTTTAAAATATTTTGTGACTCTGCTTGAAAATGCCAATCTTGGGTACTTTCATTAGATTGCTTATAAGTCTCGAACATTCTCATACTGATTCATGGCAGAGATACTGCTGTGAAGTGCATGGATTCTTTTTTCAAACAAAATTAGCTATAAGAAAATCTTATGAGAAGAAAGAAAGTTATGATTTTTGAAACACTGGTGAACGAACTTATGAAATGACCTAACAGAATTTTCCGATTTTCTGCGTACTAAGCCGGATGTTCTTGTGAAACTGCTAACAGGATGCCTTACAAGGGAAGGATACTTGGTGACCGTGGCCTTTTGAAATGCAACGTATACCATTAAATGCATCTTGAAGCGCTGATTCCAAATCTGTTTTCGCTATCTGCTGTGCGGTTTTCCGAAAGAAGTTATGAACATTTCTTGCCACAAAAATTTGCACTGTTTTTGATGCAGGATTTACCAATATCGTTAGAATATTCGCTTACGCACTGCAAAAAAGCGTCAAAATAAAGTAAAGCTTCACGTTAAGCTCAGAAAAACTGTCTTTGATAAATCAGAGTTTAAAAAGCCTGGATGCTAACGATTCTGACTGCCTAAATCTCGTAAAATCAATATAGAAAAAAGTCCATAATTTCGTTCACAGAGTCGCACAGCAAATAATGAACATAGGTTTGGAATCAGCGTTTCAAGGCGCATCTACTGGTGTACATCTCATTGCAAAAGGCCACGGTCACCAAGTATCCTTCCCTTGTTAGCGTTACGCTTATAGAAATGAGCCAAACTTTGGCGATCAACTTCTTCAGAAGAAATTTGGATAATTAAATGTACGCAACGGCTATTCATGTTTAGGCGCCAATATCTCAGTCTGGATAACTTCGAAAATAACAGTTAAGTATGCATACTGTAGACAATTTCTACTACTACAGTAGCTAGATTTTTTGAAGAAACGCCATTCATACGCCCTTGAATTCTGCCAGAAAAGTGAATGCAGTGATATTCTAAATTTGGATGCGGTTATTTGGAGCTTAATACTTATAATAGACAAGGTTGGAGCGCTTCAACCACACTTGGATAGAGCATGGAAACAGCTTCTCAATGTATGCTACATTTATTCAAAGAGAAATTGAATCGTAAAGAAAGTTGCCTTGAAAAAAGGCTTGGAAAATCGGCCAATTATTTTGCATCAACCTAATGGAATTTAAGATTATCTATTTCTATGGATTTCATCTGTTTCTATTCCAGGCACATACCCAGTGCTAAAGAAAGATTGGGAGACGTGCCAAAAATAGCTAACCAAAGCGATTACTTCGCTATCTCCTCATATAAAGCCTATGAATCGGTCAGAAATAGGCCTCGTAGACTTTTACAAAAAAATCCCTTGCTAATGTGTACTAGCATATTGTATCGATGTTTATGAGTTTGATGGTACACTATGTATGTCAGTTACATTACAGCCAACAATAGTTCTACTACCCTAAATTTCTGTGTACAACACGCACCCGATTTTTTTAACTCGACCATCGCGTCCAAAGGACCCCTCCTCCTTACCTAAAAGAATTGTGTGCGAGAGCGACCATTTCGCGAGGCACAGTAGGCTGAGCTGCTTGCTCAAAAACATGAAAAGGGTGCGTCTTATACTTGAAAAATTAGAGTACTTTTCTTTTTTTTTCCTTCTTTTGAACGTGCAATTATTCTTAAGATTTTCTTTTAAGGCTGGGTTCATACTGATTCCCATGTTCCGGAACTGTTCCCGCACAGTTCCCTCACCGTGCCGGAACTGTTCCGTAACTGTGCTACATGCGCTGCAACCGCCTCATACGGTTTTGAAGGGGGTATTGGAGAATTTTGACCATTTTCAACGGTTTTTCTTCGGGTTTCTCCATACTACGCTGCGTACGCCGCTGCAGCGCAATGGAAATATGCTCACGGCAGCAGAGTTCCATTTTTCTTATGTATCTCTATATTTGCTGCACGTTCGTATCCCTCAATAGTGTTCCTTCACATTATGCATTTCTTCCTCTCTTTTGCTTTGTTTATCCTGTCTATCCTTTGTCTATATAATGATTGATGGAATGACTTAGGTTGTTCTGCTCCCTCTACTTTTGAGTTTCACATTTTGTATCGTAGCTGACTGCACATTGCGTCATCTGGTTGTATATTAGTAGTAGATGGTTGTATGGTTGTATGTTGTATCTGGTTGTATATTTGCGCTGTTAACATCTCCTTACAAACACATCACAGGATGAAAAGGATTTTTTTCTTCATACTGTTAGACTGCAACTGCAAATCTGATGTGCCGTTGTTGCCGCAATTTGTTTTCTTCGCTCACAAAACATCATTCAAGTTTCGGCGCTGACTTCAGCTACATTATACAGTCAATGCGGCAAAAAAAGACTCGGTGGTTTTACTTTCTCTTTGGGTATTAATCTCACTTCACATCTGTCGTTCTCTTGTAAAACACCTCACTGTGTGTAGCTATCCATTGCGCTGCAGCGGCGTGCGCGGCATACGCTGCGTGCGCGGCGTACGCGGCGTGCGCGGCGTAGTATGAAGGAACCCTTCCAGGTTTCTTTCATTTTAGCCTTATTCCTCTCCCCGCTTCCCTTTTTGATCAGCAGAACTTCGATCTCGAAGCGGGGTTGAAGAATGAGTGCTTTTCTGCCGTCTGCCATGAATTAGGGAGCGCGAGCATTTCTGAAATTGCACAAATTGGGACTTTTCTCTTGTTTTCTGATGAGTTTCGTTTTTGGGCATTCTCAGCCCCTTTCCTTTTTCTTATCGTTGCTTCTCCGTTCTTTTCTCTAGCCCGCTTCTCCTTGTAATGAGAAAATCTGTGAACTTGAAGCGGGATTGAGGATTGAACGCTGTTCTGCTTCATGTATCCGGGAAGATTGGCCTTCGTGCGCTCGTCCATTCTCTCTTAGCCGTTTTTGTTCAGAACTACCCTAATTTCACGTATATAAGGCGCACTTCTTCGATTTTTCAAGTGAGCCGCTCAGTCGCTTCCTGTGTTTTGAAGAAAATCCTTATACCGCACAATTCTCTTAAGCAATATACAGCACGTTATAGGGTCCTCTACTTATAAAGTCCTTTGGCGTATCTGGGCTGGTCAATTTTAGAAACAAATCCCCCGCGCCTTATACACGTGAAATTAGGGTACTTTATATGCTCCAGGAAGGCGCTGCGTAGTCTCGCATCGGCATTAAAAGGGGCACAGACAGGTCTCTAGAACACATGAAGTGGGCCTGAACAAAAATGGAAGAGAAAATGGACGGGCGCAAGGGTAAAGGGTAGAAGAAAGAACGGAGAAGCAACGATAGGAAAAAGAAAAGGGGCTGAGAATGCCCAAAAACGAAACTCATCAGAAAACAAGAGAAAAGTCGCAATTTATGCAATTTCAGATTTGCTCGCACTTCTGATTTATGGCAGATGGCTGTGGAAACTACGCAGTAGCTTCTTGCTACAAATGGAGTAGGTTAAAAATAAAGCGAAGAGAAAATGGAAGAGCACAATAAGACACATTTTGTCGCAAACGCAAGGCAGAAAAGCGCTCATTCTTCAGCCCCGCTTCGAGTTCGAAGTTCTGCTGATCAAAAGGGGAAGCAGGGCAGAGAAATAGGGCCAAAATGAGAGAAATCTGGAAGAAAAACCGTTGAAAACGATCAAAATTTTCCAATTTCCGCCGTTCAAAACGCGCGCGCGGCGGCTGCAGCGCAGCGCAGTTCCGAAACAGCAGCAGTGCGCGAACTGTGCGATAACAGTCACGTGACATAGAAAACAGTATGCCAGCTTGAGCTTACACTTAGCCATTTATCAGTTTCGGTGATTGAATTAGATCAGAGGCGTGTGTGACGAGCTTATCGTATCCTGAAGTTGCTGCTTTGAATTGGTACCTCACGAAGAGGCATTTGTTTTGAAAAAACGAAGGTATTTGAAATGACGTCTAGCAAAGTGTAATGTTAAAACCAAGTACATCGTATATCGCTACCTTTAGCTCACCTGGTGTTATCTTTTGTGCCCGATTTCCATAATCTGTGACGGTTATCTATCTTTGATTTCAGTAAGTTTCCTCCCATTACCCTGCAAAAGGAAATGTTTACATAAGATACGAATATCAACGAATAGTTTGACTGAACAATAATACGATTTGACTTTTTGTGTAATTCTCGTTGTCGGCCGAAACCAATTTTCAGAATTGTTGTTTAGTTGATAAGCTTATTCAAAAACAATATCAAAGGGTATGGTTTTTTTACATTTAAGGGTATAAGGCGACACTTCTTACAAATAAATAGGTTAGAATGCTGCCAACGTTTGCAGTGAGTTGCAGAGATCAGCCATTTTACAGATCAATGCTACAGCTTTAGATTATTCTGGCATTGCGGACTAAAGTGAAACACGAAGGATTCAGTCGGAACGGTCCCGGATGAGATCTACATCATTTTGAAGAACCTGGAAATGCTATTACAATTTTGCCTGTAACATTTGCTCCAAGTTGTAGCCCCTTTTTAATCGGAAAATGAATGCGATTACAGAGCAGTCATGTCATTCAAAACCGCCTAAACGGGCAAGTGTGGATGTTATGACGTCTATGCAGTATTCACCTTCTGTTTGATAACTCGTACTCGTTGCTGCGCTGCTTACCATTGCTGCGCTGAAAAGAAAACAGCCATTTTTTCAAACAAGATGGGCTCAGTCTCGCATAAAAACGCCTATCCTATAACTTGACTACTAAGAATTTTAGCAGATATCAAAGTCAAGTAATTATTAGTCAATTAAAAGGAAAGGCATCTATTAAAGGATTATTCAACTGGACACTAATCTTTTATGAGAGGAGTAGAGTATAGCAGGGCAAGGACAATATATAATGAAAGTTGGCTTAAAATCCGGGGTAATCTTGATCTTTCAGCTCCTTCAAGGAGTAGGGTATGCGGAGACTTAATGGCCTTGCACACGAGTGTTTGGTAGCGAGAAAGCCGAAGTAGCAATGTTTGAGGTTGAAGCTTGATCAATTTTATCACCGTCATTGTATGCTGCAATGCTCTTTCTACAGGAAGCAGCGGATACTAAATACCAGGCTTTCTACATTACGTAAGTGTTTTCTTCTAATAAGAGATCAAAGCGATGAAAGTCTATAGATATTCTGTTTATTAAAAAGTCCCAAATGATGGAGCCAAAAAACTTAGTATTTTATGGCTTACCCGTAAGGATAAGGTAACAATCATCGCTTCACATTATTAGTTTCATAGTTGGTTAAAAGCCTTACCCAGGGTCAGCTGTCTCTTCCTCTTCAGGCTCGGAAGTAATGACGGACGTAATTGTGGTAGGATTCTCATTACTTGGTCGTGTTCCCCTGTTTGTTGGCTTTCAGGTTTGTTTATCATTATTGACATACAATCTCACCTCCTCGTTTCGGCATTTTGAACTATCTCCTCTGTGCTTAGCAACATAAGTTCACTTGTTACAGGTAAAGCTCTTGTTGTCTTTTGGCTCAAATCTTCTTCTGTGGTCCATTCTTCTTTCTTACTTGTCGGCAATTCTGTATCACCAACTGCACTGTTAATGGTTGGCAGATCCAGTTCTGTTTCTTCTGGTCGTTTTTCATAGTCATCTGAAAGGAGTGTAGGATATATATGCTGAGTTAGCCTAAAGATCTACAAGGAAAATCAAGTTTCAATGTTATTTATTGAGAGACGGATTACAGTTTTGCAAGAATTAGCATCTGAGTATTTTGGAAGCAATTTTCTCTTCAAGTTCAACAGAACCTTTGGCATACCTCCTGAAGGGCCCGTAATGTGGCATCATAACAATTTGCACAGATTAATGAAGGAACGAAAGTATAGAAAGCAATGCCAGCTGCGAAAAGAGTTGCAGTCAGAGGAAAGTTCGACAGCTTGTAATTACTAAGCGCAAGTAGCAAAACTCGAGTGCAGCTGCGGTCAGAATTTGACAGGCTTCACAATCAGATCACCCATGATTTGAACGAAATTCTTTGAAATTGCACGAAAAATGGCCGTAGGAAGAAAAATTGTGAGATTTTTATGGTTGGAAAGATTTTCCTTTTTGATGTGCAAATAAAACACGTCTCGGCCTCGATAAAATTCAGAAGCCATATTGAAAACATTAGGCTTCTCTTTGTTGAACAGTATAAAAAATTTGGTGTCAAGGAGCAACCGAGCTCCGAAAAAATGCGTTTGAAAATGAACTTTCTAAAGGTGCCCGAGAACTTTCTTTACATCCTAATACCATGCGCGCGAGTGTGTTTCAATCTGTGTTGTCATGACCAGGGCCAAGCTCAGCCACATACTCTTCACAAAAGTGTCTCCCCGCCTACAGATCATCACTCGTTATCCACATCTCATCGGAATTCGTAGTATGGCATTTGAACAAATGAGCTTTTAAGATAATTTCGATGTGTTCGCCTTATCCAGCGATTGCATTGATTTGCGCAATGCATAAGGTCTTCCAAGCGCCACGATAAATTTAGGAGGGGAGGATCGAGACCAGCCTTTGTATACATATTTCATGTGTTTTTATATCATTCCGCTTAAAGGCTGTAAATTTTTTATTAGATATCAAAGGCTGCGCCTAGTTCTAGCATTGCAGTCTTTGTAGTGAAAGCACTCAAAATGTCCGCTATGCTTGCTGTCTTGACAGCACTTTTGAATCCGTTCTTTGAAAGCGTATGAAGCAAAATTTTTAACATAGATTAAGAAAAAATTATACTTTGTTGTAGATGAGGAAGTGCCAAATTCTTCTTTTCTTTGGAGTTTACCATGTTTGATATCGACGCATTGTAGTTGTCAGAAAGAACCAGAACTTGTGGCAGGTAATGTTGAAGAGTGCACCAAAGTGATTCAATATGAATAAAACTGCACTCATTCGCACAGTAGGCACTTATTTTAGCTTGCGTTATGTGAACAATCTGAGGTCAAGGTTTCGAAAATATCGTCGGGTCATTTGTAACCAGAGTCAAGCAAGGGGTGTGGCGCACGATCGCCGGTTGCGACCCCCCCCCCCTCCTGATTTCTGTCTTAGTAAGACCCCCCCCCCCCACCCCTAAATTATATACCTAAGATAGCATCACCTGAAGGCCCTGTCAAACATAATGGGCAAGATATCCATAATGAGCATGTCAGTTAACCCTGTAGACAAAGTTTGAGCGAATTCTGAAGATTCAAGGTATAGGCTACCTAAATGAAATGGTCATTTTCCAACATGATTAACTTTGTTTTAAAGGTGAACTAGCTTTCCGTTTTTGCACTAAAGACAAAGCATTACTCCTTCTCTGTCCATCTCAGAAATCTCGCTCCAAAAGACCTCCAAACTGTGAAATTAGAGGTCATCCAAAAGCACGCTTTTCCCATTTTCCGCTTTTGATGGCTGTGCTTTCACCAACTATTACTCAGAGCAAAAAGAACGAATCAGGCTCAAATCACTCCTGTGAAAACTAGGGATCTAGCTATCGATTCATGATAATGTTCGCTAAAGATGTTTTTTGATGTAGTTAATGGGGTCTGTGGCTGCCACAGCTTTTAAGGGGGTGTGCCACACCGCATTAACTACATCAAAAAAACATTTTTAGCGAACGTTATTTATACGAATCGATAGCCTAGGCCTCGTAGATTTCATAGGAGTGATTTGAGCCTGATTCGTCTTCTTAGCTCTGAGTAATATTTGGTGAAAGCACAGCCATTAAAAGCGAAAAATGGGAAGAATGAGATTTTGGTTGACTTCTAATTCCACAGTTTGGAGGTGTTTTGAAGTGGAATTTCTGAGATGGACAGAGAAGGAGTAGTGCTTTGTCTTAAGTGCAATTCACCTTTGAAACAGAGTTAACCATGTTGGAATATGACCAATTCACTTAGGTAGCCTAGTATCTTGAATCTTCAGAATTCGCTCAAACTTTGTCTACAGAGGTTAATTGACATGCTAATTATGGATATAATACGAATATCATGTTATCACTATTATCAGTTTACCCAACTACGACCTCCTCCCTTTTTGACTCCTCAATACGAACCCCCAGGTGTGGCGTGCCACACCCTACGCTTGATCCTGTTTGTGACTTAATATGCGAGCCTGCACTAAACGCAGCAGTCGACGTCACCCCAGTAAGTAATTCTATTGACCCCTATTTACAGCACCTCCTTTCCTGCCCAAATTCCCCAAATTCACTCCCACTATGACCTAACAGGTCAGTCGCGTCTAATTTTAAGCCTGAGCCTGACAGGTGATGTCGCTGTTCATATACGTAAGCCGAAAATATTTGGCAACTGATATGCATGCTTTCTACGGATAGAATACCCTTTGCTTATAACTAGAAAAAAAATAACGATAGTCTTATATGTAAAGCTGAATTCTCTTAGTCTGCAAGTCTGTCTGTATGTGTGTACGTATGTTCCAAATGGAGAAATTCATTTTTGATCCGGTCCGGACCGAACTTTGCACACATACATTTGAAGGTGGAGCGGTGCCTTTAGGATATTTCTCGTTATAGTATTCGCTCGGCATGGCTTGCATATGGCATGCTAGCTTGCACCGGGACACAAATTTGCCAGCTAGTATGCCATATGCAAGCCATGCCGATTGAGGACTATTACTGTCATTAAAAAGCAAACTCCTGCTATTTTTTGGGCCAAGCACGAAATGGCGTTTGAGAGTCTTGGGAACAAAGTCCCCTTTGACTTTGCAAAAATTTACGAATAACCTTCTGTGGGTTTATGGAAATATGGCTTATAATCTGCAGAGAACGTTAGGATAAAAGTGAAGGAGGAATCAGGAATAGAGAGAAAACAATGGAAGGCGAAAGAAAGAAGGAACCCCTTTTTACCATCAAGTGCCATAACAAGGAAAGGAGTTGAAGCTTGGGCTAAAGTGGGTGCTCATAGGGAGCTTGAACAAGTAAATCCCCGATATATGTCGTAATGTAAAGGGAGTAAGGCACTCCTAAAGGACATGCCGCCCACGACCGCGTCTTGGCCGCCGCAAAAGTTGTGAGCGCACACGCGATCAAACCCTTCGATAGTCGTCGACGGCGCGCACTGCCACTGCGCCACACATAGCCTTTCAATCTAATGAAATCAAAATTAAAGGATAGGATAGAATGCAGCAGACATAATAGTCACTGATGGCGTTCTACGTAGCAGCGCGGAAAGCGCAACGATGGTATCGTATGCCGCTTTGCTTTAAGAGGAGAGGGGCGGGCAGAGTACGTGTCCTATGTAAGGCAACATTATGCTGCACAAGAAACTGACATCGTAAAAGAATCATGATTGCTGCAAATGTAATCTGTTCCATTAGCCATGAGCCAGACGATTCCTTGCTCAAATTATAAGGGAAACGCTGGGTACACAGCTAATGAACAGCAAAGCAGCATACATACCGAAAAGATAGAAGAAGTAACGAGATTATGAGTACCTAACGAAATTAATTATCAGAAAAAAATAGCTGAGCATACGAACTGCATTGCGAGATCAAAAGAAAAATAGCTTAATCTCGAATAGAAAGATTACTAACATTTTCTGTAACTGAGATTAACTTACCTTTTCCAAACTAAAAGGGGGTATTCAGCAGATTACACAGAAGATGAAGAATGTTGCCCAGCGCGTTGACACGAGCGGCTTATCAGCTGTTGAATCGATTGCATTTCGCGAGTGCTGAGCCTAATGCTGTGTGTCTACGGTCCTTGCGCACAAGAGAACTTGGCGTTCTCGACCCCTAGTCGGTTGTCCCTTCCTGCGTCTCCATGGTGGGCGCACAATTTCCTTTGCCTGCCCCTCAAGTGACGACGTTCGCGACGTGCTCATCCTCTGCGTACGAATACGAGCATGTCGTGAACGGTGCTTCAGTATTGCTTAGTCGTTGTAAACAAGATAATTGTTCAACTTATGGGCAAAAAGATCATTTCAACACACTAAAATCATGTGCACGCAAGTTCATGCACTAATCTGTTTGTGACATGCTAATTACCTGTTTAAAAAACAGGTAAATCACTATTTTTTTGAAATGACGTTAGAGCCTTAATTTAAAGTTGGATTTACAAAGAGTAAGAATTATGCTTGGATATTTTGTCAGGTTAGGGAATCCCGTGGCAACTTTGCATTTTCCTTCAACCTCGTACAGCTAAACACCGCTGTTCTCAAACGGACGCTATTTTGTTCGTGTGGTGCTCGAAAAACTTACTGAGCACGTTTTCAAAAGCGGCGAAAGGCACGCAGTCTCTCTTCAAAATCGCCTTTTCAGCCTTGCACTCACGAGTCATGACTGCACTGTATTTGATATTTTATATCAAATCTATGCTTCGAAGTATGGAGAAAAAAGTACGTATTACCTTATCCCTTCAAAAAGAAAGTCAAACTGCATTGCAGTAGCAATATAAAAGTTTTGGGTAAGGCAAGAGAAAAACGATCTAGGAGGCTTTAAAGATCGACATATCTGACAAGAGCACTATCTTAAGCATGAACTGACCATTGAATACTTGTGCATATCAAGTACTTAGGCAGGGCG